CACACACACACACACACACACACACACACACACACACACACACACACACACACACACACACACATATTTTAACGTTGTGGTGGTTTTTAGCTGTGGGAACACTGCTGGGAAGTTGGTGGGCGTATCATGAGCTAGGTTGGGGGTGGTGGTGGTTTGGGATTCTCTAGAAAATGCATCTTTCATGCCTCGGGTATTAGCTAGATAACATATCTTCCTCCCAGATTCTTTCGATTTTTCTATTTTTTTTTCTGGAGGTACATTTCGTTATTCATCCCGGTAGCATCCGGACCCAGACATCCGGACAATCTGAATGGCTGTTAGGGCGTCCAGATGGCGTTCAGAGAAATAATATATGACATTAAAGAGGCTCCCAAAATTTTCAGGTTCCAAGATTCGTCCCATGCCAGGATTGGATATTTTTGACAAAGAGATGAATATACATTTACTATTCTCCACCTACTCTGACGACTAAGCAGCTCCCAAAAAGACTAGCATTCCCCATGCGCGGGATGCCCGCACCAAAACAAAAATAAACACATCAGTTTTATGCATGATTCAGTTGTTACCCGGCACAGTTAAATGGTTGCAAAACAAACGTGAAGTATAATAGCCCAGAAACAGAGAATAGGAAATTCTTGGGAGTGATTTATGACTGCCAGAGAGATGATAATCGAAACAAACATTGAGAATAATCAAAGCCCAAAGGCGAAAAAAACAGAAAAAAAGGAAAAAAATAATTCGTTTTTTTTTATCTTCTTTCTTACAACTCCCCCTGTTCAGAACCTCTTGCGTACAAGGCCGCCCACGTGGATGTAGGTTGAGCGGCGGCTGCCCCCACCCCTGTGTGTCATATCGACCCACTTGCACACAGCCAAAGGGCAAAGAGACAAAGAAAAGAGGAAAGGAACAGCCAAATACAACAAAACAGGGGGCCACAAGCAATAGCACCAAAAACGGATCCTAGATGACAAGTCCCACATGCAAGCACCACCCCTCCTTCACGGGCCAAACGACAGGACAAGACCACCCGGGACAAAACTCTTGTCTGCAAAAAAAAGAGAAATCCCAGATGAGCATCATTCGTCATCAAGACGTGGGTATTCCCATTTGTAAACCGTTCTTACTGGGACAAAAAACATAAAAGACAATCCCAGATGACGATTCCCACATAAAAGCACCACCCCCAAATGCACAGGCCGAACAACGGGAAACAACCAACCAGGAAGCCAAAATAAAAAAGAACCCGGATGACTACCGTCTTAACCCGTGTACAAGGTACATACCTTGTATTCAAGTTACCTCCGAAAAACGGGTTCAAAGAAATCGCTGTTAAATTATTGAATAGAAGGTACCCTCGAATACAAGGTACGTACCTTGTACTCAAGGTGTGCCTTGTAACTGTCACGTATTTCTCTCTCTCTCTCTCTCTCTCTCTCTCTCTCTCTCTCTCTCTCTCTCTCTCTCT